TTGCATGGTTGACAAGCGGTACAGGAAAGCAATATTGATGACAAATATTGTCAAGCATGTCTGTCTTGAATGTGTACCTTTCATAAAGAGTTGCACTGGAGCCTAACGGACCAGTAATAATAGACACAATACAGGAGAGATGACAGAGAAAGTGGTGTGCGTGTGATAATCTGGAGCATGCATAAGACCCTACAAGGAAATGGATGTGGGGGTGGAGTGGGAGGGACTTCATGACAAGCAGACATGTTACCCTATAAGGAGATGTGGAGTGGGAGGAGTTTACGGGCGAGCTAATGTTCTGTTGCTATGAGGATGCCTGGCAGCGAGGTTGATTGGGGGGTGGGGGGCAGGATGGATGTACGGTCCCGTCTGGATTTTATGAAGCGTAAAAAAAAAAAGGGTGGAGTTGAGGGGGAGGACAGGGAGAACAGCAGCAGGAGGAGAGAGGGAAAGAAAGAGCGAGAGAGTGGGAGGGAGGAGAGTGATGGGGAGAGGGGGCGGCTTAGGAGGATGGAATTATTTAACAAGGAAGGGGGGGGGGGGTACTTCTGCTTCTGCAGGTCATCTTTATAATAATTTTATGTTAGAAATGTATAGCTAGAAATGTGAAAAACGATAGCTGGTAAACGTGCCAAGAATGATTTGAATTGTATACTGTTAAGTTCTGTGTATAATGTACTGACAACAGTACTGCACCTTTCAATTCCTGCATCATCTACAGTTCAGTAGTATCCATTGAATACCACTGACCCCCATACTTAATACACTCCAGTTCTTTAGAATTAGGCTGTAGACTAATGCCATACACCCATTAGACGAAGAGATCCCTGAAAAGTCATTATTCATGTCACACAGCCTAGATCTGGCCTGCTTAGCCTCGGTTATCTACACACGGACGGACGGACGGACGGACACACACACACACACACACACACACACACACACACACACACACACAGTGACACTGCTGCAGTCAGACAGGGCAGAGGAGTGCATTTTATAACATGCCACTCTCCTCAAACTCACTAGCTAGCCGGTGCTAACTGACCCGAAAGTAAGTCAGCTGCAGCTACTGTCTCTGAATCACAGGCTCTGCTGAACTGACGGCATAACCTTACACAACCAGGGACACGCGCGCATTTACAAGTGTGAGTTGACAAGATGCGTGACACATATCTGTCTACAGGACACCCCACATCAGTGACTATCTCTCCCTCTCTCCATCCCATCTTCTCCATCCATCCCTCTCTCAGCCATCCCTCTCTCCGTTACGCAATCTATGTATGTATTCAGCAGATGCACTTATCCAGAGAGAATGACAAAGCAACTTTCAGTCTAAATCACATAACAAGGCGTTCCTGACAGACCAGGAGACCATTTCAGTCTAAATCACATAACAAGGCATTACTGACAGACCAGGAGACCATTTCAGTTGACGCTTGTCCTCTTGACATGGCCCTTGCCCCAAATGCCACCCTATTCCCTATATAGTACACTACTTTTGATCAGGGCTCATAGGGCTCTGGTCAAAAGAAGTGCACTATACAGGGAACAGGGCTCCATTTGGGGCATACCCACGGTGTACAGTATCAGGGCTGTGGATGGCCTGTGTGGAAAATGGAACATGAATATTGTCTTTGAAAGGTCATGCAGTCGTTCAGCTAAAATAGAAGAGGTGGCTCTATTCTGTATTTTGATTTGGCAGAATTGGAAAACAAAGCACAGGGATATTATTTGCCAATAGTTCAGCTTCAAGGCTTTTTCCTAGTCTAAATAGAACAGTCCACTGTTAGAAACATGTACAGTGGGAAAGGACATGCTGTTTGGGATAGGGGCTTGGGGGTTGCCCTCTTTAAAAAAAATATATATTTCTGTTTTGTAAGAATCAAAATGACCCAGGTTTGCCCAGCGTCCCCGGCTTGTCACAGGTGCAAGGCAGAGAAAGGTCAGGAGCTGAGACAGATGGCACACACACACACACACACACACACCTCCGTCCTAACACTCCCTCAGGGACTCAGAATATATTGTACCACACAGCAGGAAAACGCTTCACCCAGTCTCTCACTCACTCACTCACTCACTCACACACACACACACACACACACACGCACACTCCATCCTAACACTCCCTCAGGGACTCAGGATGTATTGTACCACACAGCAGGGAAACGCTTCACCCCATCACACACACACGTTTTAGATATCACACCATTATTGCTATATGAACTGATGCTTGTTATTATCTATAGACAATGCCACAAAACATTGTCAGCTAGCTAGCAGCAATGACAAGAAGCTGACATTCCGCTAGTTTTCTTGTTATTGATTTTACATTTTAGTCATTTAGCAGACGCTCTTATCGAGAGCGACTTACAGTAGTGAGTGCATACATTTTCGTACTGGTCCCCCATGGGAATCAAACCCACAACCCTGGCGTTGCAAGCGCTATGCTCTACCAACTGAGCCACACGGGACCACGGCTGTGAGATCATGTCTTGTTTTGACTGATTTCATGTCAATGCTAATATGGCAAAACATTTGCTAGCTAGCTAACCAACAACTGTAACAATGTATTTCAGAGAAAAGTAATCATTGTGCAAATGTATTTGTTTTCAATAAAGATTTGGCCACCAATTGTGCAAGTTCTCCCACTTAAAAAGATGAGATAGGCCTGTAATTTTCATCATAGGTACACGTCAACTATGACAGACAAATTGAGAATTTTTTTTCCAGAAAATTACATTGTAGGATTTTTAATGAATTTATTTGCAAATTATGGTGGAAAATAAGTATTTGGTCACCTACAAACAAGCAAGATTTCTGGCTCTCACAGACCTGTAACTTCTTTAAGAGGCTCCTCTGTCCTCCACTCGTTACCTGTATTAATGGCACCTGTTTGAACTTGTTATCAGTATAAAAGACACCTGTCCACAACCTCAAACAGTCACACTCCAAACTCCACTATGGCCAAGACCAAAGAGCTGTCAAAGGACACCAGAAACAAAATTGTAGACCTGCACCAGGCTGGGAAGACTGAATCTGCAATAGGTAAGCAGCTTGGTTTGAAGAAATCTACTGTGGGAGCAATTATTAGGAAATGGAAGACATACAAGACCACTGATAATCTCCCTCGATCTGGGGCTCCACGCAAGATCTCACCCCGTGGGGTCAAAATGATCACAAGAACGGTGAGCAAAAATCCCAGAACCACACGGGGGGACCTAGTGAATGACCTGCAGAGAGCTGGGACCAAAGTAACAAAGCCTACCATCAGTAACACACTATGCCGCCAGGGACTAAAATCCTGCAGTGCCAGACGTGTGCCCCTGCTTAAGCCAGTACATGTCCAGGCCCGTCTGAAGTTTGCTAGAGTGCATTTGGATGATCCAGAAGAGGATTGGGAGAATGTCATATGGTCAGATGAAACCAAATAAGAACTTTTTGGTAAAAACTCAACTCGTCGTGTTTGGAGGACAAAGAATGCTGAGTTGCATCCAAAGAACACCATACCTACTGTGAAGCATGGGGGTGGAAACATCATGCTTTGGGGCTGTTTTTCTGCAAAGGGACCAGGACGACTGATCTATGTAAAGGAAAGAATGAATGGGGCCATGTATCGTGAGATTTTGAGTGAAAACCTCCTTCCATCAGCAAGGGCATTGAAGATTAAACGTGGCTGGGTCTTTCAGCATGACAATGATCCCAAACACACCGCCCAGGCAACGAAGGAGTGGCTTCGTAAGAAGCATTTCAAGGTCCTGGTGTGGCCTAGCCAGTCTCCAGATCTCAACCCCATAGAAAATCTTTGGAGGGAGTTGAAAGTCCGTGTTGCCCAACGACAGCCCCAAAACATCACTGCTCTAGAGGAGATTTGCATGGAGGAATGGGCCAAAATACCAGCAACAGTGTGTGAAAACCTTGTGAAGACTTACAGAAAACGTTTGACCTGTGTCATTGCCAACAAAGGGTATATAACAAAGTATTGAGAAACTTTTGTTATTGACCAAATACTTATTTTCCACCATAATTTGCAAATAAATTCATTAAAAATCATACAATGTGATTTTCTGGACTCTTTTTTCTCATTTTGTCTGTCATAGTTGACGTGTACCTATGATGAAAATTACAGGCCTCTCTCATCTTTTTAAGTGGGAGAACTTGCACAATTGGTGGCTGACTAAATACTTTTTTCCCCCACTGTATAGTTACATGTTGTCAAAAATCTAAGCCAACCCCATATTTGAGTGCGAATCGGTTTTGTTGCTAAACAACCAAACCCGTCAATAGCAATCTGATATAGTAAATTAATGAAACACGTTGAATCTGTTATTTAATGGATCGTGGATCCGTAGCTGGACTTTTCTGTCAGTCTTCACCACTCCTGTCCTCTCCCTGTCCATATCCCATCCCCCTTTCCACTCCCCCTCTTGTCTCTGTCATCTCTTTCAGCACTCTCACCATTTCCATTTAGGGTAGCGATGCCCCTCTGCCAGTAAGCTAGGAATGCACTGTAGTGTGTGTGTGTGTGTTTATGAGAGTATTTTGGGTAGTTGTGGGCATTAGATTATAGCACAGCCGTTATCCAACAGTCAGCCTTTGTGAATTTTTAGGCGTGTGGGCGTTTGCATGTCAGAGTTAGTGTTAGGTGTGTCTGTGTGTGGGCGTCGCCATCCATTGTGCTGCTTTTCTGTGTGGATGCTGCTGACCCCCTCAATAATAGATGGGCCTGTAGTGAATATTTAATGGACAACAGTACACGCACACACACACACACACACACACACACACACCGGGGGGATGGAAATATAATATCCGTGCCTGTAAGACTTTTAAACTGAACCTCTTGGGAAAGTGGTCTTACCCCTAGTGATGTTTTCTCTCAGGCTCTCTGTCGGTAAAGGAATACGGTGGAGTATAGCCAGCCAGTTACTTAAGACCACTCACCTCTCTCCCTCTCGCTCTCTCTTCCTTCTCGCTCGCTCTCTCTGGGCTCTCAGGATGCAGCTGGTGGTCAGGAGGGTCTAGTCCCCCCATCCTTCTCCGCCTTCCCCCCTCCTCCCCCTCCGCCCCCCCAGAACGGCTTGGCCCTGGAGTACGGGGCCAGTCTGTACGCCGCAGGGGCCATCCAGGGGTCGGTGGAGGCCGGACAGGCAGGCCTTAACACCCCGACAAGCGTCCCAAACAGCTTAACGACCCACGTGAGTTGTCTGGTTGTTTTAGCCACTCATTTGTTGGTTTTTTTATTTGCACAAACTTTACAAGAGTTTGTTTCACGCAGTGAATGAGGGAGTAAGTGTCTATTAAACGCCCTACTTTCTCTGCCTCTCACTCTGCCCCTCTCTCTCTGCCTCTTTCACTCTTTCTTTCTCTCAGCAGTCAGATGTGTCGTCACAGATTGATACCCAGTTGGTGGGTACAGGAGGAGGTGGCAGCGGGGGGTCCGTGGGTGACGACTCAGAGAAGGGGACCCCCAAACGCCTCCACGTCTCCAACATTCCCTTCCGCTTCAGAGACCCCGACCTCCGGCAGATGTTTGGGGTACGAGACCAGGAATATTGTCCTTTTTCCCATCCACAACCCTGACATTCTAGTGAAGTAATCTGTGATTGATACATCCATTTTGGGACTTTTAAATGAGTGTTTTAGTTAAGCTTCCTTAACATGGAGCAGGAAAAAGAGCAGATAATTGAGAGAGGCACTAAGGAATAGCATTAAAATGTACAACATGATTTATGCTAGTTTAAATGTCCAGTACAATACTGACGCCTTGTGTTCAATTGTTGTATTTCATTTTCAATGCAGCGCTTTGCAGTGCCATGCTTATTGATGCTCCCCCCCCTCTTTTTCTACAGCAATTTGGAAAGATCCTTGACGTAGAGATCATATTCAACGAGAGAGGATCGAAGGTAGTACACATCAAAATACCAAACCTGTTCATTTTAACTTACATTACATAATACTCTGCACAGAATTGACATAGCTTACACATATTTCTTCATCTCCCTTATCCCCCTCTCTTATATTCCAACCCTCTCATTTTCTCTCCATCCCCAACCCCATTCCCTCTCTAGGGTTTTGGCTTTGTGACGTTTGAGACGAGCGCGGATGCAGAGAAGGCCAGAGCCGCTCTCCACGGAACTCTGGTGGAAGGACGCAAGGTTGAGGTAATTTACCCTCCAAGAACGGTGGCCATTTGGTTTTTCGTCTTTGTCCCATGTTCAGCAGTGAAATGAAGTCTGGTTGGCTTAGTATGCTCCTCCATCTCCAGTTGAACTGTCTCAAGTGGTTTCGGGAATTCTGTTTGTGTTATAATAACCCCCTTCTAGCATGGTGCTGTGGTGCCTCACAGAAAGATCAATGCGCACTATGTCTTGGTTTTACATCACTTCCTGTTTCGTGCACTGTCCATTTGCACGTTTTGATCTTCAGCTTTATGGGTCTGCCTGGATTGCAAAGCATGCTGGGTGGTTTGGCAACAAAATGATCTGGGAACAGTGTTTTACGTGACACCTTTACACACACTGTGCCTCTGAACGCTGCTTATGACACAGCATGCGAGAGGGCATATCTTGTTTTCTCTGCTGCACCCCTTCTTCTTATCAATCACCACCATCACTTCCACGATCAGAAGCCGGGGTTTATTGGTGTTCACTATTTTAGACAGGACATTCTCCCTCTCCTCTCTTCCTTATTTTCTTCTGACAAACAACCATGCTTGCTTGTGTTTGTGAGAGATTCTCTTGCATGGGCTACCAATCGTGTTTCAGAAGACCGGTCAGGTGATGTGATGTCATAAAAGATGGCCGCCTTTTCTTTCCCCTACATTCAGATGCCTGTGTGCTTGATTGTGAGTCAGTGCACAGTATTGAAGTAGTTTGATTACGTTGCTGTATGTTGACATTGCTGCATGCATTAGGTGTTGGCAGGTGCAGATATTGGAATGAGGCTGCCATAAGGGAGTGTGGTGGTGAAGTGTTTGATCTGCTGTTTTTAGATTCACTATTGATTTTGGGTCTATATATCAGTTATTAAATAAAGGCAACCCACACTAATGCTCACCCACACCTCATACCCTCACTTGCATCCCCTATTTCTAAGAGTAATACCTGGTTTGATGGGAATGAGTTTCGCTGCGATGCCTCAATGTTTCTCTTTGTCAGCATGACTTGGAAGATCTTGGAAGAAAAACACCTCATGCTCTGCCATCGCTTTGGCTCTTGGTTTTCTTGGTTTTAGAGCCATGCTTTATTGTGAGCTCTTCTGCATGTTCTCAACTGTTATGCACTCCTCTGTTGTGTGAATGAGGGCGTAAGCATGTGGGTGTGAGTGAGAAAGAGAAATACGGGGGAAGAGGCGGAGAGAGAGTCGGAGAGAGTGAAGAGGGATGATGATACGGCTGTCTTCCCCTCCTTTTCCTTTTCCTCCATCTCTTTCTCCACTCTTTCTCTATCTTCATGCCAGTCGGTCTGTCTATCCTTGTTTGTCTCTCTCACCTTATCAACCTGTGTTTGTTTGACCCTCCACAGCTGTCCATATTAGGCTTGGGCGGTATCCAGATTTTCATACCGTTCTTCTGCCATCCCAGGATTTACGGGATTACCGGCATAGCACACAAGGGGCGCTAAAAATGCAAAAAAGCCTGTTGGGTGTCTATTACTAGAATGCTAACCAAATAAGCATAAGTAATAGCGAAAACATAGATGCTGTTCGCTAAATGCTAACGAGCGAAAACGAACAAACGAATTGCAAAGACAGGCAAATCCAACTCATAAAGTTATACAATCATAGCTAGTAGCTACCGAATGTCATTTTCGGTGAGTGTGGACATGTACAAGCGAAGGTGAACGAGAGAAATTATGCAAATGAACAAAGTTGTGATGCATGCTTTTCTGAAAGATCAGCATGTGTACACCGAGCAAAGGGGAGAAGAACAGAGGGGAAAATAAATGCTAGTAGGAAGCACAGGGGAAAATGGCAGCTGTACAGATAACTAACCAAGAGCTCTTTGACTTCTCAAACGCAGCAGAAAGACGTTTATAAGATATTCGATGGCAAACATTTAGTAGTGAATTGTGTAACTTCATTACTTCATGTGTGCTGCAAAACAGAGACTCGGCGATAGATATAGAACGCTATGGACTCCGCTTTCTCCCGTTGTGCTATTTACAGACAAACATTTGACTGGCTCAACTGTTCTGGGGAACTACGGTAAACTTCAGAATGTAAAATAATTTGACCGGTGAAATGAAGAACGCAATCTGCTTTATCTCCTAACGTATTGCACAAGTTGACTGCAGGTATTAACTTAAAAAGTAGCTACAAATATTCACATTTATTGAAAAACTTCAAATAAATAGTTTTGAAGGTATTGGAAAATCATCCCTTGGCTTTTTCCAAATACCCCAGTATACGGTATATATGGTATACCGCCCAAGCCTAGTCCATATACCGCTCTCTCTGTCCGTCCATTCTCCTTTTTAAGTGTACTCCAAAATAGTATTTAGTTATGTGCAGTGTTGCGGTCGTTATTTAAAAAAAGTAATAGATGACCTATTCTTTCAGCATTAATTAGTTAATTTACTTATTACTCCCTGGGAAAAGTAATTAGTTACACTACTCTTTACTTTTGCGTTACACCACAGATGGTTGCGCAACCTCACTCAATGTAAACAATGTCAAAGTTACGCTACATAGGCCTATGCACCAACACAATTAGCCGAATAATGACAGACACAAAATCTACCATGGATAAGGGCAGCATTTCCTCTACTACAAGCTTGCTCAGCTCTCCCTGGGTTACAGCCTGTCCTCCTGAACGATTGGAATCAAACCTTGGATGTTTGGATGAGGTAGGCCCACAGTCATCTTCAGCAGCAGTGGAGAGGTGTTTCTCACCTGGGCGCAGTGTACATTTTTACAGTGTTATTCTTGTCACTTTGTCCTTCCAAACCAAAGTAATGGGAGTACTTCCACGCTGGGAAAGTACATGTTTTAGAAGCGTCTGCCGTTTTTCCATCTCCCTTAAGCAGTTAGTAGTAGAGTGTGCATGCATAAACAGGAACTTGGTGAGAGGACGAAAACAATTAGAATCGGGGACGTTTTATTTTATATTGCGCCAACAGAGGGAATAATAATCACATGTATTTGGATCAATAACTGTAATAGGAAGGGAATGATAACAGAAGTAACTGTAATATTATTACTCAAATTTGAACAGTAACTCCATTATATTACTCGTTACCACAAAAAGTATTATTATTACTGTAGCACGTTACTTTGTAACGCGTTACCCCCAACACTGGTTATGTGTTGATAAGTTCTTAGAATATCAGTGAAAGCTGGGCGGTGACTTCTCCCTGACCCATAGGCTTCTAGATTGATCCCTCAACTGTCCCTCTCCGTCTCCCATGTGTATGGCTGTATCTGCTCATATGAATTGGGTATTTGTAGTAGTTGCATCAATAGAGGTCAGCTTTATGTCAAAAGGCGACCAATCACCTGTGTCTTCCTGTTGACTCAGGACCTATCTCATGACATCACTTCCTCTGTATACCTCAGGATGGGGGTGGTTGCTTTTCATCACCTCATTGGTTGTTTTGGTTTTGGTTAATTTCTTATTATATTTTCTCTATTTCCCCCTGATGATTTCTGTGTTGTTGTCAGTCTCCACGGTAACCGCTCGCGTGTCCTCACACCGTTTCCCCAGCAATGGTAAGTTGTGTACACATGGCATCATTTTTTAATGTCCCCCCCCCCCCCCCATCCGCCAAATAAAGATAAAGTGCACCCTATACACACAAAAAAAAATACAATAAAAGAGTCCTTGACCCGGCAGGGTTTGATCGAAAGGATCTGATTGGCTAATCCTGTGATTGATTGTGGAGCTGGCAAATAAAATGCTGATTAGATTAGAAAACCAATGGCATTTGACCGCATGGCCTTCCAGCCTCTTTATCTAACATTAAGATAACCTGATATAAAATGCATCTGTAAGCGCACTATAACTACCACTTTATGCATTAATTCCATTCACCACTCTAACTGCATTCAAACATTAATTCTAGCGCTATTTACTTCCTGCATGGTTGACTATGTCTCTTGTCATCTGTATCATATAGTGCCACTGTCATCTCTATGTTATGTATTAGCTACCTTTCTTTAGTGAATACCAAACGGTAGATTCCTTTGATTCAATTTGTTTGGTACATTAGTAGTGGATTGGCATGATAAAGCATGAATGCGATGTTGTAGAATAGAAGTCAGTCTTGGTAACTAGACAGTAGGTTTTGTGCGCTGGCTGTAGTTGTCACTGTAGAAGGCCTAATGGCAGAGAGTAGTCTATTTTTCACATTAAAAAGAAGGTCAAATGACTTTGTACAAGCTAAGGATATGCAACTGATGTACAGTACATCAAACTAGTGACCAATGGAGACCACCGCTAGAGAGAAGATAATCTTGAAACCATCATCAGTACCACGTCTGACTCTCAATAGGATTTTATTGAATTGGATGGTGTGCCCAGACTTGTTTTTTTTTTGTAGTGGTTTGGTTTTGGATGGTGTGTGATGGTGGTGTCTGCTTCTAGTTATTTGTAGTGTGACACTGAATTGCAATGCCTGAAAGTGTTTCACGTCATGGTTTGATTTGTTTTTTTGAGGAATGACATTTGCATCCCCATATCCTCTCTCTCTCTTTATTCTGTCCTCTCTCTGTCTCATCCCTCTCTCTATCCCAGCTCATGTATTGGATCTTTTATATCTAGGCAAACGGTCAGACGTTTTTTCTTTGTTTTGATTAGTTTGTTCCGCATCTTGGTATTCGTTTTTTTGTTCATGAAAAAAAGGATTGCACATGTGGATGAATTTCTCTCTCTCTCTCTCTCTCTCTCTCTCTCTCTCTATCTATCATTTATGTGTTCCCATGTCTTTTAATGTGGACTGGCTATTCTTCCTGCATCCCACTCTCTTTTTCTCTCCTCCCCCTCTCTCTGTATGATGTGTGTGACTTGATTGGGAAGGCTGCCAGAATGTTTTGATTGGTCTATATATGCTGCATCTGATGCTTGCTGATTGGCTGGTTTTGCTCACCTTCTGGTCATGTGATGCGCTCTTGATTGACTGGCTGCGTGTAATCTGTGTATGACCTGTTCAAGTGATGAAACGTTTTGCATCGTGTTCAACAGAAGCTTACTTCACCCTCTTTTCCCTCTTTTTAAAGGTAGCAATGCCTGTAATGGTCTTGGATTTCTTTTGAATGCCTTAATCTGAAATGTTTTAAATTTTTGTTTTGTGTCAATGGTTAAATTATTGTATGTGCAAAGCTGCCTGTGAATACTCACACATTCCTTGTTTTTTTCCTTCAAAGGAACGCATGTATCAATCAATTACCATCACTTTACATCAGAACAATTAACCTCTTATCCAAGTGTAAACACTACTGTCACTTTATTCAATTCATACGACTCACACAGTAGCAGATAAATGTTGACAAGTACAAACTTAGGTTTTCTAGTGATCTCAATGTATTTGCGTTGGTTACATATGTATTAATAATCTGTGTTAGTAATGTCATAGCCAGTTCTATAAAGTGTATTTAGGCACTCATATTTCAAATATCTAGGGCCTATTTGTTCTGGTAGTACTGAAGGTTATGTTGGTGTCTGTATTGTGGGGTTTGGGCATAGAAATAGAATGAATAGAATGGGTGTCCCCATTCAAGTCAGTGATGGCATAATGGGTGGACTGGCAGCCATTGTGAGTGTACCAATAGGACCAAAGCAGGAAGTAAAAGCAGGAAGTGTACCCATCAGTCTGTGCTGTTTTTGTTTTTCTTGTTGTTTTTTTACTCCACTGACATTACAAAAAAGACAGTACATTCCATTGCATGAGCCACATTACGACATCAGTTAGCATTATTTGAATACCAGGCAACCATTGTGAGTGTACCCATGAGTTTAACAGTCAAATTTCCAGGGTTAGAGGTTCCAAGCCTGTTCTATTCATTCTATTTATATGGGTTTGGGTATACAGGAGGAGCCCATGTTTGTGCATGGAGCAGGCGTGTGTTTGTCCCTCTGGTCCGGTGTGACCCCTCGTCGTGTTGTCTTGACCTCTGACCTCTCTCTGACACCCAGGTCAACAACGCCACAGCCAGGGTGATGACCAATAAAAAAATGGTCACCCCATATTCTAATGGAGGAGAGGGGCTCGCCGCTCTACCTTATGGTAAAGATAATACTACTGGTTAAACTGCTAAATATGACCAATATCCTGCTGAATGATAACTTTTCTGCTTGTTATACATTAGCAGCAATGTAGTTACTGTGTAATAACTACATCAGTGTAGTTGCATAGTATCTGTTTAACTTGTTGAGTTGAGCTGTTGTGTGACTCATATTTCTTATCCTCTTTTTCCTCTAATTTACTTTAGGGCTACTAAATGCCAACTCCCCTACAGCCGGGTGGAAGTTAAGTCCAATGGTTGGAGCCATGTACAGTCCAGAGCTCTATACAGGTGAGATGCTAACATTGTTAGACTAATTTCATCAACACAGCTGATGCCATGAGATGCCAGGTTTTGCAAATGTATTACAAATCAAAAACAAAAATACCTTATTTACATAAGTATTCAGACCCTTTGATATGAGACTCGAAATTGAGCTTGGGTGCATCCTGTTTCCATTGATCATCCTTGAGATGTTTCTACAACTTGATTGGAGTCCACCTGTGGCAAATTCAATTGATTGGACATGTTTTGGAAAGGCACACACCTGTCCATATAAGGTCCCACAGTTGACAGTGGATGTCAGAGCAAAAACTAAGCCATGAGGTCGACGGAATTGTCAGTAGAGCTCCGAGACAGGATTGTGTCGAGGCACAGATCTGGGGAAGGGTACCAAAAAATGTCTGCAGCATTGAAGGTCCCCAAGAACACAGTGGCCTCCATCATTCTTAACTGGAAGAAGTTTGGAAGCACCAAGACTCTTCCTAGAGCTGGCCGCCCGGCCAAACTGAGCAATCAGGCGAGAAGGGCCTTGGACAGGGAGGTGACCAAGAACCCAATGGTCACTCTGACAGAGCTCTAGAGTTCCTCTGTGGAGATGGGAGAACCTTCCAGAAGGACAACCATCTCTGCAGCGCTCTACCAATCAGGCCATTATGGTAGAGTGGCCAGACGGAAGCCACTCCTCAGTAAAAGGCACATGACAGCCCGCTTGGAGTTTGCCAAAAGGCACCTGAAGACTCTCAGACCATGAGAAACAAGATTCTCTGGTCTGATGAAACCAAGATTGAGCTCTTTGGCCTGAATGCCAAGCGTCACGTCTGGAGGAAACCTGACACCATCCCTACGGTGAAGCATGGTGGTGGCAGCATCATGCTGTGGGGATGTTTTTCAGTGGCAGGGACTGGGAGACTAGAACCCAATCGAACATCTCTGGAGAGACCTGAAAATAGCTGTGCAGCAACGCTCCACATCCAACCTGACAGAGTTTGAGAGGATCTGCACAGAAGAATGGGAGAAACTCCCCAAATACAGGTGTGCCAAGCTTGTAGCGTCATACCCAAGAAGACTTGATGCTGTAACCGCTGACAGAGGTGCTTCAACAAAGTACTGAGTAAAGGGTCTGAATACTTATGTAAATGTCATATTTCAGTTTTTCTGAAAATTTCTAAACATTTCTAAAAACCTGTTTTTGCTTTGTCATTATGGGGTATTGATTTTAGAATAAGGCTGTAACGTAACAAAATGTGGAAAAAGTCAAGGGGTCCTCATTCAAGTCCTCATTTCATCAGTATAGGTGAAATGCTAACATTGTTAGCTTAAGTCCTCATTTCATCAGTATAGGTGAAATGCTAACATTGTTAGCTTAAGTCCTCATTTCATCAGTATAGGAGATGGGTGAGATGCTAACATGACTAGCTTTAGCCCATATGTATTCCGTTATATTAGGACACTTCACCCCACAATGGAACTCAATCAAAATTGCCTGTTTCCCTTTTCAGTAGACTAACTGTTTGTTCTTTTTTGCCTCTCTCTGATTTCTCTGGCCTGTCTCTATCAGTCCCTGGTTTCCCGTACCCTGCGGCGGCTGCACAGGCTGCCACAGCGGCAGCGACCTTTAGGGGCGCCCACCTCCGGGGTCGTGGCCGGCCGGTCTACAGTGCTGTCAGGGCAACCCTACCCCAGCAAGCTATACCCACATACCCAGGGTAGGTGTTACTCAATTAAACACACACACACTTTTGCTGCATGGTGTGATATAACAAATCCACTTGAATTAATTGTGTTAGTTTGGTGCTGCACTGAAATACCATTTCTTTGTATCAACATTAGATAATATTGCTGTCTACAGCGCAGTGGTCACAAGCACTCCAGTACGACTTGTAGGGCTACGTTTGGCCAAACAAGAGAAGTGGTATTTTATCTTGCATGTTTCACGTGTGTGTATTAATCTCTCACCTCTTTTTCTCTCTCTTTTCTCTCTTTCATACTCCCTTTTTTCGCTCCTCCTCACTTTTATTTCCTTCCACTCCTCAATCACCATCCATCCCTTCTCTTCTATCCGTCTCTTTTTCTTGTCTTTCCTCCTCCTCCTCCTCCTCCTCCTCCTCCTCCTCCTCCTCTCTCTCAGCATGATGTATCAGGAAGGGTTTTACGGTGCAGCAGACATCTATGTAAGTATACCTCTCTCCTCCGCTCTTTCTCTCTCATTCTCTCCTTTCCCCCCCTCCGTCTGAGGAGAGTTTAAGTGTGTGTGTGTGTGCATGGACCAAATCCACAGAGCTGTGTATATGTGGGTGATGTAGTAAACTTGACAATTTAACACACATTTTTAAAATCATTTTATTAATTACATTATTTTAATTAGACAGATCTATAATAGCTGTTACACATTTAGTTCTTGATGAATCATATTGCTATATGAAGCGGTGCATGCCATGTGGAACATCCAATCTTCCAGGATCTACACTACACACCCTCATAAAAGTTCTATACATTCATGAATAGACTGCTCTATGCGTCGTTTGCCTGCGTGTGGAGTGTGATCGTGTACCTGTGTGTGTGGTACCAGGTTGACCATAGCTGTTCTCTGTTCTCTCTGTAGAATAGTGTTTCAGGACATTAGTGGCAGATTGCCCCAGGTAGGGTCCCATCACCACGTCACTGTGTGATCAGCCAGTGTGCATCCATCCTATTACTCTGCGTTCCACTGACTGACTTGCTGCTACTGGTGTTTTATTGACCATCCCAGATTGAAATGCCTCTTTTTATTTCTGTTTCTATTACTAACTCACTGGATTCTGACATGGGTGGAGTTGCAGAACGTGGGAGAAAGGGAATTGTTATAACATGAATGACAATATTACCTTTAAAAAATTTTTTACATAACATGATGGATATGGATATGTTCAGTTTTTAAAAAGAAATAGTACAATAATATATATATCTATGTACACAGATAAAAAGAATATAGGATTTTGCTACGATGCTTATGCAGGCTTTATAAAGGCTTTATAACAGCCACCCTTAGCTTTGAAATATAGCCAAAATGAGAGGTACACTTTGACAGTTATGGCTGACATGGTTTCTGAAAGTTGAGACTGAGTAGCTTAAAGACAGTTTACAGAGGATCTCCAGGATCTGAGGATCAATGCAGGCCCACAGACTCTCAGGGACATGGGATATTCATCTTAATCAGTCATTCTGACCCCTTCCCAGTATCTCCCTATATCAGTTCCACCTGTGGCATGCTAACTGAATCAATGTTGGCATGCAGACACACTTATACCCCTCTCCCCTCCTCTTCCCCCTTCTCCTCCTCTCCCCTCCTTCCCCTCCTCTCCCCCTTCCCTTTCCACTCTCTCTATATCCTCCTCTTCCTAACCCTCCCCTCCAGCAGATGTGTGTGTTACTGAATACTGGGACTTGGTCCTGTACTGATCTGTAGGGTAGAATGCAGTGGTGTGTTGCCTAGGAGATGACCTCCTCTGTTTTGAGTTTGGGTTGCATGCTGTCCAGCGTCAGTGATTGGTTGTGGCCATGCGAGTGTGTATGTGTCCCCTCCCCCTTAATCGGATTGGCTGACCGTCTTCTGTGTGTTCATCATCCGTTTTTCCACATTAAAGGAATAATGATCCCGATCATCTGTTTATTCATCCCCCTTTTCTTTAATGGTGTGTTTTCGATGGGAAGGAGGGGATTTCACACCTGAGGTTATGCACACTTTCGCCCATCTTTCTCTCCCTCCATGTCAAACAAAACATAAATGATCAGATGAATTGAATGAAGAAAAGTTTCAGCACACTGATGCAGGGCCTATGTCATGGCCACAAACCCAGGCTCTAGAGTGTTTTGTTTGTCATGGAGGGAGACCAACACAGGGAAAAGGCCTCCGCTACATTCTCTGAATGCCATGTTGCACCAGATTACCTGTTGTTGCTGCTTGTGTTAGTCTCTCTTTTTCTGCTGTTATAAAGTAACATAACTTCACTATCATTCATTCCTGGGCTATAGTATGAGGAAGTTAATAAAATCCACTAACAACCGTGTTCTGTCTGTCTCTCTCTCTCTCCCTCTCTCTCTCCCTCTCTCGGTCACTTCTTTAGGGTGGCTATGCTGCGTATCGCTATGCTCAGCCGACTGCAGTAGCCAGTCCTGCAGGAGCAGCAGCTGCCGCAGCAGCTGCCTACAGTGATGGGTGAGTGATAGACACAATATATTACACGAAATAAAGCAGTAGCTCACCGTACTATGACTACATATAGATAACAGATATTAACATATTCAAATTAAAAGTAGTGGGCCTACTTCACTTTCTATTTTGGAACACGTTTGGTTGCATATTTATGGATTTGTAATGTACTAATCTCTGCTCTCCAGCTACGGACGGGTGTACACGACAGACCCCTACCACGCTGCACTAAACCCTGCCACAGCTGCAGCCTACGGTGTGGGAGCTATGGTAAGAACGATTGTCTATTTACATTACAATCCACAGGAAAGTAAAGATCATAGAATTAGAATGTCCATTCTAGTAATTCTAATTCTATGGTAAAGATCTAGCCATTCACTAACTGCCATCTTACCTCCTCTCCTCTGTCTCTACCAGGCCACACTGTACAGGGGAGGCTACAGTAGATTTGCACCCTACTAAAGAGAACTACATTTCCCAGGAGCTCTCTCATCCTGTTTGAACAATCTCTAAAAGAGCTCCCTCTGCTGTCCAGGACGGGGATTGCAACATGTTGACGGAAGTTTGTAGCCTACCATGGAAAGTTTATATTTCAAAACCTCCCCAAAATCTCCTGCTGTCCACTCTTTTTAGCTTCAAACAAAAATAGGAATGCTGTTTTAAAGACTGGTGGAAAGCCTTGACAAAGGAAAAAAAAAAAGAGGAAAAAATACGAACTTGTTTTTGAATCCAAATGGCCGCTTGTTTCCATTGCACGGCTGTATTATAGTCCCCCTGTGTCTCCCTCTCGACACTCTCAGCAGCACAAGACACAGAATGGTCGCCCCCAGCTAGCATACCTCCAGAACCTATCATGTAACTGGTGCACGGACAGATAACTGAACACTGAGACAAACCCCCGACCACACGTATATCAGCCAAGGTGTAATGTGACATGTACTGTACACAATTCATACATCAAGAATGGAGGTGGAGCCTAGTTATGGAAGACAGAACTGTGACTGCCAGTGTCTGCCTGTCTGTGGAGTCTGAACGAGCGAGAAACCACAGCAACCGAGCACCAAAATCATTTTGGAACTGAAAGACAAGTTGCAAACAAAATGGAGGATCTGACTCCATGTTTCCTCTTGTGGGGTGAAGGAGAATGAGAGAGGAAATTACATCATCATTGTAGAGAGAGAGAGAGGGATGGACTGATGTTTTTTGTAACACTATTAGAAATTACTCACTTCAAACTGAGCAGTAAAAGGATTATCATAGCTGTACCTTACCTCAAAGTTTTCTTAGTCCGTGAAAATGGTGAACCGTAAAAAATTTAATTGTTACAATTATGCAAATAAATTAGTTAGAGAGAGGAAAAAAGTTACCAAATTATTATTATTATTGCTGATTTATAGCGTTGTCTTTATTGCCTTATTATTGTTAGTTTCAGTGGTTCTCTGAGCACACCTCTACATACATTTTCCACTTCCCTAGAAACGAGGTCTAGGGGCTACGACTACAGTGTAGATATCTGTAAGCCATTCACTACAGTGGGCAACACTACACGTCCCCTCTACAGAACACTTTATTACACCAAACTAAACTTCCAGTGCACAACATCATATTCTTACAATACTTCACGCTATACACAAATCACTCAGAACTATATAATATTTCATCACTATTATAGAGGTACAGGCTAGCTTTTTATTGCATTGTCAATGTTAGGCTTAGGCAGTTACGTCACAATGATATCATTGAAACAATCAGAACCTAGTGTCCTAGAATTAACTTATTCAGTTATATTTCTTTGAAAAGTTATGATAGAGATTTATTATTTGGCTATATGATTGATTTCCCTGACTTGTTCTGTCTTTTAGAAGAGCAGGTAAACATCAAGTACAGTCTTCCTGAGAATAGCTACGTTGGTAATAGATAGTGAGATTCTGTCAACAGGCGCTGAAAGAGGGGACACCATCAATATGAAAAATATTTAATGCAAAATACCATACTATTGTGCATATTTCTATATCCTTATATCTATTTCCAAATGTGGTTGTTTTTGCCTTTTTTTTTTTGTTCCAAAGATTTGTAGAAAGCACACTTAGTAATGTGGATGATAAATATATTATCGTTATTGTGGTTATTATTATAAGTGCTGTCTTTTTATTTGTTGCATTAGCTCTTGTTATATTTTTTCTATTTCTAAATGTTGTAGTTCCCCCTAAAGTAAGGTGACATGTTCATTTCCTCCATCAAAAAGATTTGTTAAAATCTGATATTTTTTCCTCCTGTGTTGTTTTCTTGGACAGAGGGGAATGGACTCTTTTTAGTAGTTTCAAAGAGGGAGGGAACCATAGAGGTATGCCACTATGACATCGGCCTATCTAGTGTTCTTTATCTATGGAGCGAACAACCAGGGAACGCATGTAAAACTAAACTACCAAACTCATTTTCTCAATGGAAGAAACTGGACTTTTCGGTCCAGACTGAAATAGGGTGATGGGGTTGGCAAACATTGGATTGAGTTTTTCCACAAAAAAATCGGGAAGGGCTGACATTTTCGGGCCTCACAATTTATTCCAAGTCCAAAGTTTACAGTAGACAAGACTCCTTTGGAATGAATGGTGGCCTGACGAGCACTTCTTCTGACCTGGTGAAGAAACCTAGTCGCTCTGTTGTAGACAAAAAGGACTCCTAACATTTCAGTGCTGAAATTAGTCGGTTGAGGTTTAAAATGGATGTGAAGAGCGTAGCACTCATGCTCTCTAGGTTAAAGGGCATGCGGTTTTGAATGATCTAAGTATACAAAAGGTTGTAAGTGTTATCGTTTGGTTTGAACAATGGTAAATGTTTCAAAGCAGTTTTACAAAGAAAATGTTATGTGGGGCATGAACTAAGTACTATGAAACAATATTCAAAATGCTGCAGTCATTATTTTGTAATGTTTGCTCTATTTTTCATTTTATCTTAAGTTTTCTGCCTGTGTGTACCACTTCTCAGTGTGAACTTAATCTAAGACATCAACAGGGGTCAAACTCTTCTTCTCTGGTCATTTGACCTTATAATCATGTATTGCAAAAGTGGATTGAAATATGAATAACTGAAAAGATACAGCCAAATATAGATATTTATGCCCTATTTCTATGGTTGCCAAATTAAGAAACGCAGAGCAAAGTGGAGAAATGATTGACAACCTATTGAACCAATCAAAACATGGGCAACCAGCATGATGTCGTTCTCCAGGAAGTAGAGTTTGAGACCCCTGACCTAACTGTTTTGCATGATTTTTCTGTCTTTTGAGATCAGACTGCAACAGCACTAGGTTGCAGTAGTCGTCGTCTTTTACCACTAAACCCCATTGAGAATGCTAGGCAGCTAGCCCTTTTTTACGCTAATGATGCTAGTGTAGCGAAGAAGAGCGCAGTGCTGTTTGTCTCAGGCCCAGTGATCGGCAAAACAGAATGGCAGCCGCAACGAGGCAAGAACGCCATGGCTACGTTCTAATTTCCATACTTGCATATTACTTTGAATTCATACCTTGATACAGTGCTTCATACTAAGCAGTATGCTTGTGTGGATATTGGAACAGAGCCATGGCGTAGACGCAGTCCTTGTCATGGTTTTCTTGTCCTTGTATTATATTATAGTGGTTCTTCTTAATCGCTATAGGTTTCCAATGGAAGTGACTGTCCTCTTACGAATCTCTTCCCCTCTGTCATGTTTATCCCTTGGCTGCCATTATGCTATTTTGTTATTGATTGTCCATATAAAATCTTTTATATAAAATCTTTTGTGGTTTGTTACTTTCATTTTGTTATTTTGTTGTCCCGTGTTTTAAGAATGTGTGTTTGAGTCGCTGGTGCTTTTATTTTGTGTTATTGAGGAATCAAGATAAGAAATTAACATTTTAGTTGATAGCTTCTGACAAAGTATTGCCAAAGTACCAGTAGAAGTAGCTGTTTTTCAATTGGTTATACTTCAGTTTGATCCAAACACCCATGTTCATATAATTCCAAGAGGGTTCATATGTGATTGACCAAGTATTGAGTATTCTACTCTGCAGGATCATGCATTCTATTGACACATTGCATGAGTGATCAGCTCTCGAATGAACAGTCGAATTACACAAGACATTGACATTCACTGTAAAAAAAAAAAAAAATGGATTGATTTATTTTGTACATAAATATATATTTCTGTATATATAGAGTGCTTTCAAGGAGAGAGGGTGCAGGTAGAAAGAAAAAAAAAGGCAGGTGGGGGGAGACCAAACTATCTTTGAGATATAAACAACGGTCAATCGAACCCTCTTTAAAAAATCTAGTCCAGCTTCTCTCTCAAGAAATGCACCATTGAAACTGTAGTATTAGTTTCTAGAAGTAAGCATCACTGCCATTTATTTATTTACCTACCAGACTGCATAAAGCAAATGCACGTCACTATATATGTAATCTCCTTGAGTGTCATTTGACTTCCGTTGTTAGGACATTGCTTAGCTGGTCGTTTATGTGAGATTTCTACAGGAGGACAGTGGCAGGAGGAGGTTTGGTCATATGTGTCTTTTGTTTAAAGCTGGTGTGTGCATATTTTCCAAGTATCACTGTGTGTGTGACTGCACCAATTCTCTCAGGGTGAGTGCACCCTGGAATGCCCGGCTCTTAAACAATGAGCTGATATCAAAGTGGAAGTGCCTTGTACAAGATGGCGTAACAAAACAACAAGTCAGTTCAGAGGAGTGCTGGAATCCCTGACAGCAGGGTCCAGAAAGGAGGAGGTGAGGGGGAGTGAAGGAAAGAGAAGTGGAGGGGGGTGGTCGAGGGAAGGAAAGGAGGGGTAGGGGGTCTAAACAATTCCATATTTCGCCAGGTCGCTGAGTTCCATGTCACCGAAGGCTTCCCATGGGCAGACCACTGTGATGTCTGTGCCGAGACCCTCCATGCCGGGGATGTCGTCACCGAATCTGGTGGGAGAGGAGGGAGGGAGAAGTTCCATGAGCAAAAGGGATAGAGACACAGCAGACAGACAGTGTTGTAGTTGTGTGGTGGTAATGTAAAGTTGAATTCGAGAGAAAGATGTATTAAAGTGTGTGTTGGTACGGTCTAAAAGGAGTTGCATTTGATATGTAAGGATGGATGCTTGTTATATGTTAGTAGGCTTATGTGCAATTAGAGTTTTTGTTGTTGTAGAGTAGTAGTAGTTATTTGTGTGTTCTGAGTTTCCAACTCACCCCTTCTGGCCAGGCTTGGGGGCCTTGCTCTTGAAGGTACGGGTAGTCCTCTGCTTGAATTTAGGGGGGGCCTTCTTTTCAGCGGGAGTGGCGACATCTGCCATTTCTGTTAGTTACCAAGAGAGAGAGGAGAGAGGGTCAATAAGGTAGCTGGGAAATACTTAACTTAATAACAGTAATAAATCCCATCAAATATCTTTAACTCCATTGGTTTTATCCTCTGTCTTACTCCAAACCCCTCTCCCTAGTTATCACCCCCTCCCTCCTTCTATCCCCTGTCGCACCCCAAGAGTGATAATCCCTCCATATTAGGTGAAATTAGACCAAATCCCTGGCCTGTAATTCTGTGTAAGACCCTGTCACACAGACAGACCCCAGGTAACCTCCTCTCAGGTCTAAAATACACCTCAGCGGTCTACTGTATGTTGATCCAATCTCTACCAGATTAGATTTGGCACCAACCCATACTGTGCTAACCAAGACCAAAATAGTACCAAAGCTACTTGTTAGCGTTACAATCTGTAGTTCAGCTGAGTTCACTTCAACCAGAACATTGTGTAACTAGAAGGTTCTTCTAGACCTTCTAAACCAGTAGTAGCCTATCCCGGTCTTCATTTCAACTGCACTCTATACATTGTATATATTCTACCGTAGAATACATTGCACACAGAAATGCTTCTTGAGAGTTCATTGTCCATGGAAGCCATACTGTACACCCAAACACGTTTTGTTCGACCACTCTAGACATGCATCCTGTACAGGTGAATGACATTCTGTTGTCAAGTCAACAGCCAATCAACATCTCTCTTACATCACATTCCACAGCTGCTCTAGTGATCTGCATGTGTTCATTCTATAGTGTCCACAGGGTGTACGGCTGAACATCAGTGTGTATGTGTGTGTCAATGTTATTGTGTCTGTGTCTACACTACACTATCAAGTGTTTGAGCTCTGCTGTGCAAGCCTGTTCTATCCTTCCTCTTCACCTTAACATTTTGTTAAGTGTCCTGGTATTGCCTGTTTGTCTGCTGGTCTCCTCCTAGTGTCCTGGTATTGCTTATTTGTCTGCTGGTCTCCTAGTGTCCTGGTATTGCCTATTTGTCTGCTGGTCTCCTAGTGTCCTGGTATTGCCTATTGGTCTGCTGGTCTCCTCTTAGGTCCTCGAGTACAATTCAATTCCCTGTCTATCAGTGTATTAAATGAATAGCTCCAGCCGCGCCACTAGACTGCAACTACTCAAGAAGTCCATTGTCTGTTATCCTGCTCTGCTCATCCTCAAAAGTCAGTTGTGTGAGCTGTATCAAGTCCACAGCATACCAGTCTGCCACAGGAGGCTGCTGAAGGGAGGACGGCTTATAATAATAGCTGGAATGGAGTGAATGGAATGGTATCAAACACGACCATGTGTTTGAGTTCGAAACCATTCAATTTATTCCGTTCCAACCATTACTATGAGCCTGTCTTCCCCAATTAAGGTGCCACCAACCTCCTGTGAAGTCTACAAAGGTCCTTCTCCAAAGCCAGCACTATAGCAAGTGCATTGAACGCTACCCAGTCAATGACCATCAGCAATGCAGCACCATCTCAACAAGACTACTCCATGGAAACAGCGCAATCTCTCCAGTGAATTCTCTACACTCTAAAATGTTTTCTGCAAGTGTCTAAGGCATTGAATCCAGGGCCTGCAATAAAGGTAACCAATGCTCAGAGCTGAGCGTAGAAGGAAGCTGTAGTTTCATCCTACCTGTCTTTGCAGTCAGTAGTGAACAGTTCTCCGGGGTTGGGTTGATCCTACTGAGATCAGAGAAGCAGAACAAAGATGGCTTATCTTTCTTTCTGCTGTATCTCTGTTCCTATCTTCCTCCTCTCTGACTGTCCTCCTCTTTTATACACCTCTGACCTAATCCCCTCTGACCTTTGCTCTGTCGCTCACACACTCTTTTTCCTCCATCCCTCTCCCATCGCCCCGCCCCTACACATATACAGAGTGAGAGAGGTTTATTTTAAGATGGACTTATGGAGGATATAGCCTGCAGGTGGTTTTTGTGAGCATAGGTGCAAAACACGTGCCGGTAATGTTGTTCTCAGTCGATGTGTCAGAAGTGGGTCGTATATTTCGGTTTAGGGTAGTCATAGTCAGGTTAAATCGAGGCCGAAATCTGGGAACTTTGCGTCCATGCACAAATAAATTCATTTGAATGTTGCATTATGGCATAATTATCATATGTATGGACAGATAGTGGTAAATAACTGTTCAATTTTTGGAGTTGCAAGGATGTTTCGTTGACTTTATCAGCCTATATTGTGAATTTTATTTCATGCACTTAATCAGCAATCAGTAATCAATTTATTGTTATGTTACTATGTATGATCCAGTACAATCTGAGTGACTGATTTTATTCAAAGCCAAGACCTCGTTATGCTGAAGCAGGCCTATGATATGGTGCATCAACATTGTAATAGCTAAGTGTGGTTATATATTGGCATGTAATAACAAAAGCTTATGAAAAAAAAAAATATCAACAGGACACTAAAAACTAGCTTGGTTAAAGAGAAAACAAACAAATGTGACCCTTAGGTCCCAGAGGTGAGAATTAATCTCTGCAGGTAAACTGGAGGTAAACCCAGTGGCCAATCCATGACCGTGTGTACGGTGTATCCTACTGGGTGTTTACTGGCCACCAGCCCATCCCATGCTGCTAGCTGGCCTGACATAACAGCCAGAGCATATTGTGAGTCCCAAATGGCACCCAATTCCCTACATAGTGCACTATGTTAGACCAGGGCCCAATGGCACCCTATTCCCTACATAGTGCACTATGTTAGACCAGGGCCCAATGGCACCCTATTCCCTACATAGTGCACTATGTTAGACCAGGGCCCAATGGCACCCTATTCCCTATATTGTGCACTACTTTTGACCAGATCCCTATGGGTAGGCAATAGAGTGCCATTTGGGATGCAGAATACAGTTGAAGTCGGAAGTTTACATACACTTAGGTTGGAGTCATTAAAACTCGTTTTAATTTCTTGTTAATAATAGTTTTGGCAAGTCGGTTAGGACATCTACTTTGTGCATGACACAAGTCATTTTTCCAACTATTGTTTACGGACAGATTATTTAATTTATAATTCACTGTTTCACAATTCCAGAGGGTCAGAAGTTTACATACACTAAGTTGAATGTGCCTTTAAACAGCTTGGAATATTCCAGAAAATGATGTCATGGCTTTAGAAGCTTCTGATAGGCTAATTGACATAATTTGTGTCAATTGGAGGTGTACCTGTGGATGTATTTCAAGGCCTACCTTCAAACTCAGTGCCTCTTTGCTTGACATCATTGCCAAGACTATAGTTTGTTAACAAGAAATTTGTGGAGTGGTTGAAAAACAAGTTTTAATGACTCCAACCTAAGTGTATGTAAACTTCCGACCAACTTCATAGGGAGAAAGGGACTGTTTTAGTCGGGGTGAGGGTAGTGTATCAGTGGTCTGTAGTTGTTGCAAGGGGTAATTGTGTTAACTGCAGAGATACTGAGAGAAGAGCTTGCACTGCTTTTGTAGTCTTATTAAGGCACCAGTTTTTTTCCCAGCAAGGAGTAAAACACCAAAAACATAGCTAAAACAAACTGTTTATGTACTATTTACACTAGGGCTCTATTCAATCTGTCTCGCTGAAGCGTTACAGATTGCGTGATAGAAATGTGAAGGTAATTTCCTATTGAGCTGAGATATGCAGTGTTTACTGTGAATGCAGTCCCCGCTAATTTCATTCACGCTGTAATGCTGAACTTCCGCGATACGGATTGAATAGAGCACTTAGTGTTTTATAATTTCTTCCAACTTAATTTAAACGTTTTGTTTATTCGTCAATGTTGAATTCCCCTTTTGAAAAAACGGGTTCAAACGCTAAGCAAATCTGGGCCTAAATATTTAAAATGATGGGCATATCATACTAAGGATCTGTGTTTGCGTGAGCTTTACTATGAATTTAACCTAACCCTGCTGCCCTGTGAACATAGTCCATGTTATATTATGTGTTCTGTCCCAGGAACAATAATGGATTGAGTTGAGGGGGGACATTCTACTTCTGGCATACTTGTAATCAACTTCTAAGCACCCATTAGGAACAATTAGAGAGCTATTCCACCTCCCCATAATGTCCTCCATTAGCAAAAGACAAACGTAGGCCTAGACGAGGACTGGGAGGAGAATGTTTGTGTGTGGATGTTTTCTATTTCTGTGTGACATTTCATAAAGTCTTTGTTAAATTCCACCCTATACCACTCTCCGCTTTTTGGTGATTCGTTTTCAAATTCAAATAATTTTTCATGTGAAACGTACGATGAAATTCAGAGTTTCTTGTTCAATGTTCCCACTATCTACAGCTGAACTAATGGTTTCAGTGTGTCTTCTGAGGTTAAACAAAGAAATCATCCAATGTTATTTATTTCATGCTCTCTCTTAAATATATATGTGTTAGACAACCAACTTTGTGTTGGGTCAGTTTGTTTATGATCTTTATCTGTTCTTGCGATCGTTGGTGTATTGCAATATAACAAAACAGATAGATTCTCAGCAACCTGCCAATAGCAACTCAATGTAATTTCTTCAATGAGTGGTCTCTTCAAATGTCTTACATAATATTGTCTACACAATCTCCATAGAGACTGGGGCCATGTTGTGGAAATCGATGACTCCCTGGTTCTCGGGACTAGTTGTACAGATGTTGGATCTTAATTAAAACTTTCCTGCAATGGAAATAAATACAAGAAAATCCACTTTGACATTTCAGACTTGATTTTCCCTTAAGAAAAATGTATCAACCCATACAAAAATGTCCATTAATTAAAATCCACATAATAATTCACATTTCCTGTTGCTGCAGAATGATTTTCCTGCTGTAGCAAACTGGCTCAAATTAAGATCCTACATCTGTACCACATGGGTGTCGAGTGAGTCTGCCAACACCAATGGTGTTCAGTACAGAAGTCCTCCAGCACTAGTGGGTTAAATGTTGTATAACTTCTGTTTATGGAGAACATTTAGGCAGATTTAACTCTTACCCTAACCTGGTTTTAATCCCTGTTCCTCCCTCCTTCGTA